TTCCTTGTCCTTAGTCCACTCAGTGCTCACATCACCCCTCCTTAACCCGAAATGTAAATCTCTGTCTGGAGCCTGCTTCGGGGGAGCCCAGCCTAAATCACTTTCCTTGTCCTTAGTCCACTCAGTGCTCACATCACCCCTCCTTTTAACCCGAAGGAAGAGGACACAGAAGCTCAGCGAAGTTCAGTTTGAACCCAGATCTAGGAGCCCACGCCCTGCAGTTCAGGCACCTATGCCTTCTGGTCTCAGTGTTCCCATCTGTTAAGTAAGTTTTGCTTCCTTCAACACATTCGCAAGCCAGGATGCCCAGGCCCCATTCAGAACTTCCATGCCTCCCTGCTCTGTGCTCTACACCAGCACAGCCTCAACTGCCAATGGTGAACACAGCTGATGATTTCAAATTCAGAAATCACATCTCTCCCAAGATGGCAAGCTCTCAAGAAGGGACAGCATCTTCATTACCTCTCCTTTCCTACCTTCTGGCCAGCACAGAACTAGCTACAAAGTTGATGCTGATTCACCTCAGTGATAGGGGTGGCTCTTGTGAAAAGATTTAATGCCCACAAGGATATCCAAAGTCCTCAGCTTGGGGTCAAGGTCATGATGCAAGAAACAAATAATTACCAGGCCCCAGAGAACAACTGTCTCACAGCTCAGCCTATCCAAAGTGACTCTCCATGGCTGACACAAAGGAAATCAGGGTGGTCCCCACATTCCACCCAAGCTGAAAAGAAAAACCTTGCCTCCCCAGTAAACACCCACTGAGAGCAGACCAAGATGGTAGCCTCAGCCTTCTGGGAACAACAGCCCTTCCCCACAAATGTGGCTTGGGCAGAGTTGTCAATCAAAGAGCCCATCCTATCAGGGCCAAGAAAATGGTCACATGCACCAATCAGATGCTAGTACCTTCGCAGTCCCTTATGAATTTGGGAGATAAGCTCCTGCCTCTCCTTCTCCCCATGGAAATCAGTCACCCCAGAGGGAAGAAGGTTTGCAAGAAGCCCTCTAGTCTGGCCAGTCCACATGCTCAGGATGAAGGGACTCTCACCTCCGGGCCTGGGGCAAGGGCCCTGTGCTGTGCTGAGATGTTCCCTGGAAAAACCAGATGGCTCCTCTCTGCTGCCTGTGCAGTTGTTAGGAGTGCAGATTCTGGAGCTAGATGGATGAGGTTCTGATCCCAGCTTTGGCACTACCTTGCTGGGCAACCTTGAACAAGTCACCCAACCTCTCTGCATTCTATAAAATGGGGTAATGCTAACACCCACCTGTTGGCGTTCATGAGTGGATACATATAAAATGCCTGGGACATGGCCAGGTGTACAAACAGTGCTACGAAAATGTTAGCTATTCCTGCTGTGGTTACTATGACTACCATTACATCTTAAGTAGTATGGGATGTTTCTCTCTGAGGTCCTTTCTAGATTTAGAGTGCTACAATGACATGAAAAGGGAGCTAGCACTCCAGGTAGGTGTATCTGGAATGGACTCCAGATTCCACGGGTTCCAGAAGTTCCTGAAATTCTTGGGGCCCAGTGCACCCTCATGATGAAAGCTGCAGAGTCCATCTCGCTATGGAAAAACACACATTCTCCCATTTCGGCATCTATCCTGACTCCCTGTGGTGAGTTCAGCAATGGCCCACACAAGTTACGTCCACATCCTAACCACTGGTGCTCACAAACATGACTGATTGAGAAAAAAAGGTCTTTGCAGGGTTACCCAAGTGAGCCAGCCCCACACCCAGCAGTAAGGATGCTTAGAAGAGATGGAAGGTGGTGTGACACAGGAAAAAACATAAGAAGCCAGAAGCAGGGACTGGGGTGATGTGGCCACAGGGCAAACAATGCCCACAGCCACCCACCAGAAGCTGGAAGAGGCAGGAGAGATTCTCCCCTACAGCTTCTTGGGGGTGCTGCCCTGCTGACACCCTGACTTCAGGCTTCTGCCCCAGAGCTGCGAGAGGCTATTGTTCTGAGCCATCAAGGTTGTGGTAGCTTATTACAGCTGTTTGGGAAATAAATGCACCCTGAAATACAGAATACCCTCGCTTAGGGTGGGGGTGTTGGTACCTGGGCCCAGTCAAACACTTCGAATGCAAGCTGGTCATAGTGACGCTTGCCTATAATCTCAGCACAGTGGGAGACTGAGGCAGGAGGATCACAAGTTCTAGCCCAACCTGGGCAACTTCGTGAGACTCTGTCTCAAAAGACAAAATAAAGAAAGGGATAGGGATGTACCTCAGTGAAAAGGCCCTGGATTGAACCCATGGGACCCCAAAACAAAGGCACCCTCTCATGCAGCTCCTGAAGTTTGAATGTGTGCCCCAAAAGGTCATGCTTTGGAAACCAAGGGCCGAGAGCAGCACTGTAGACAGGTGAGCCTTTGGGAGGTGAGTGGACCAGGAGGCTTCTGCCCTCATGGATGGACTAATCCACTCAGGAAATCATGGCCTCACAGCTTCTGCAGAAGGGGTTTTATTATGAAAGGGGGCGCCCTCTGGCACACTCTCTGTGTCTCACCATGGGACGCCTCTACCACACCACACGACTACGCAAGAAGGCCCCTCCGGATCCAGCGCTCTGCCCTTCAGCTTCGCAGCCTCCAGAACCGTGAGCCAAACATTTCTACTCTTGATAAATCATTGAGGTGCTTTGTCACAGTAGCACAAAATGGGCTAAGACACTGACTTAACTCTGAAACTTCCCAGACGAGAAAACTGAGACCAGAGAGACAGTGGACTTGCTTAAGGTCACACAGCAAGTTGGGGTTACAAGTAGATTTCTCTTTTGTTTTTTCACGGCCATTTTATAACTGCACATAATTATGGAGTATCATTTTATGTTTTAATACATGTACACATTGCATATTGACCAAATCAAGATAGAGCTTGACAGGACTAGTTACTAAGAGAGCTGGATTTCTGGTATCTTTCTCCTGATCTGGCTGGATGTGAGGAGGACAGAGGAATTTTCCAGAGCACAATCAAACAAGTGGGTGGTGCAGAGGAACAAAGATCCTGGAGCACTGTGACCTTCCATGGAAAAAGCGCAGAATAGGGGTCAGCAAACTTTTCTATAAAGGAACAACTAATAATCACATTCTACTTTGCAGTCCATGAAATCTCTGAGTAAAAGTAGCCATAGACAGGTAAATGAATGGATGCGGATGGGCTCCAATAAAGCTTTAATTATGGACACTACAATTTGACTATTGTATAATTTTCAAGTGTCCTGACATATTATTCTGAAATATATATATATATATGCATATGATCCTTCCTATAATAAAAATGTACAAACTATTTCTACTGTGCAGGCAGCACAAAAGTCGAGAGCAGGCTGATGAGGGTCAGGGGCTGTGGTGTGGGAATCCTGTGTGGATGAGTCAGGTGCAGAGGTGGGCTCTGATGGGGGACTGGGTTGGTACAGAAAGGGGAACGTACCCCAGGCTGGAGAGGAGACCAGAGTCTTACTCCCTGGCAAGCACGGACCAGGTGGGCCTTGGGGACTGAAAACTGCTACAGAGACATCACAGCCCCCAGGCAAAATGGCAGTGACATCCTAACAGCCAAGGCACCCAGGATGGCTCATGGCTGAGTTCTGGGAAGGTAAGTGGCATTTGCCCAGCCAAGCATGGCTGTCCTTGGCTTGGACCAACTTCACGAGTCCCACCCTACCTACCCCTGACTCAGCATGACTTTTAGAAGTTTCCAGAATGAAATCAAGAGGTTACTACTGTTTGTGGCTCAAATGGATGGCAATCAAAGGAAGGACACACACACACACACACACACACACACACACACACACACACGTGGACATGGCAGGAATGATGGCCGTCGTTTCCCCAAGGTCTCTGTCATCTCTCAGAACAACCCAGACATTATCAGAGTCACCAGACAGAGCTCAGTCCACACATGAGTTTGTTCCACAAATAAGTTCCAACCCTATATCCTGAGCCCAAAGAAAGTGGCTCTTTGCTGGAAGGAGCTAGGCGAAGACACAATCACCACGTAAGGCTCCTGTACCCCATGAGGCAGAAGTCACATTGTTTCTGATCCCTACTTTCTCCCCAGAACCTTGTGCAGTGCCAATGAAAGAGCAGAAGAGACCAGAGAGGGAGGTGAGGAACCTTGAATGCCAAGTCCAGGGATTCCACTTGATTTAGCAGGGGAAGGAAAACCCCAGGAAAAATCTACACAAGAGAACAGTGCAATGGCTCAACATTGTAGAACAGACCCAGTAGTCACGATGGCAATGGAGAGAAGGAGGAGTGAGAGTATCGGCGAGGAGCCTCTTCCAAGAGTCCAGCGCAAAAACTTTAAAGGAAAGCACCCAGTCCAAGATGATAGTAGAGACAAAGCCAGAATAGAAACGATGCCGCTGGGAATACCTGCAGCACAGTGAATGACTCAGTAGCTACGAAGAGCAGAGCACAAGAGATGAATCAGCCCCTTAGAGGCCAGAGTTCAAAGAGGGGTCATCAGGAAACAGACAATTACAGAGGGGCACAAAGAGAGCACGATCGGCCTTGGGGCACAGAGTGAGGACACCGCCCTGACACCCATGGGGAAACAGCAACTTGGCTGTTCATTGCTGGCCTCCCCCTTACACATATGAACAGCTGCTCAGCCCACACGCCAGCCATGAATGGATGGCCACTTACATTCAAATAATTAAAATTAAATGCTATTAAAGCTTCAATTCCTTGTCCAAACTGGCTACATTTTGAATGCCCTACAGTCACATAGAGCTGGTGGCCACTGCCACAGACAACACAGATAGAAAACCTCTCTCTTTGCACAATGCTGGGCTAGGTCTGCTTGCAAACTCTCATCCATTTCTGTCCCGACACCCCTGGTTTCAGTGTCCCAAAGAGCAGCCCCAGAGGCAGTGGTGACAGACTGACCCAGTCCCCACCCCACTGAGAGAAAGGCCTTGTCAGACACCTGCCAAAGGAGACAGCTGGCTGCCCAGGTGCACTGAGCAGCAGGGACATACCTTTGCAGGCACCCGCAGCACCGAGGTGGTATATGGCCGCCAGCACCCGCCAAATGGCCCGCTGCTCACCCTCTGTGATGCCCAGTGTCTCCATGGCACCCTGGAGCTGGGCAAAGGCTGCTGCATCCTTCTGCTTGTCTTCGGGCTGAGAGCAAAGGGAGAGAGAGAAAAAGAGGCCATCATGACAGAGAAAATGCAAATTCATTACTTGAAGCTGGGGTCAGTCTTGGAGGACTTGAGGTCAGTTTATTACCACAGTAAATCCTCCACCATTAAGCTAAGGAGTGTTGGCATCCAAACTCAGACTGCTGGGAAAATTACAAAAATCACTTCAGAGTGACTCTGGGATGCAGGGTGGTTTCCACTCATTCCCATATACATCCTGGACCGATTTATCAAGGCACTGCCTTGTGCCTCGTCTGGTCCACAGCTACAAAGATTAAGCACACCCAGATCATGACTCTGAGGCCTTCTCAAGGTACAAGTGGAAAGATTCACAAAAGGAATGAAGTGGGAACAGGCTATATGGGAGACTCCAGATCTAAGTGAGAACCACAAACTTTGCAGAGCCTACAAGATGAGACAAAATTGTGGTTGACATCTGAAGACAAATAGGCAATGTTGACCAATTTAATGTGACAGAGGTCCTGATAGGCAAAGAAAGCCACATATGCAAATGAGATTTTTGGAGACAGCATGTTATTTTGGGAGGTGGATCAGACAGAAAAGTGCAGAGACAAGGCAGGAGAAGCCAGCAAGATCAGAGCTCGAAGGTCTCAGGTACAACACTAAAGAGCACGGGGTTGAAACTCTCGCCATGGTTGGCAAATACTGACACAGATTGGTGCTCGCATATCCCTTCCTGGGCCCATGCAGACATCATTAATCAATCAGGATCGCACAGCAAGCCAGGGAGCCCAGATTCATTTCAGAACATCGTTTGCCTTAGTGACCAAAATGGAACATGACTGCCATCACCAGAACAGCAGTGGGAAACTGCCAAAATACTTTTTTAAGCAGGAGGAAAGAGAAAAATGACATGATCAAGTGTTTATGTGTTGCAGAGTTTTTTATGTATTTTTTCAGATTCATAATCCCAATTATGTTTGATTGAATATTAAAATGAGTTTGAAACCCCTGTGTGCAGCTCCATCTGGCTGAGGCAACTCCGCCCAAAAGCCTGCAGGGTAGAGGAAGTGAGCCGGGAACAGAAATTCAGTTGCCAGTAATCCACTAGCAGATAGTGAGACCCTGACTTGCAGTCGGCCTGCTCAGAGATCATAGGTGATGAACCACAGTCTGTTGGGGCTAGCAGGTCCTTGAATTTTATAAAGTCCCATGCTCAGAGAGGATATGATACTTGCCCAAGGTCACACCGTAAATTCAATGTCAGATACAAGACTAAAAGCAGGATTTTCTGACTATTTCCAAGCCATTTGTCCCTTCCACTCAAGCCACTCTTCTAACTAACTGGGAAACATGAGGATCATTGACCAATGGGGACAATATCAAAGCGTGGGATGACATTGAGAGATATGCTGTGGAAACATTTCCATTAATAGTAAAAGCATGTTCCACTGATCCATCATATTTCTGGGACACCACAGGACCACAAAATCCCTAGCAACCAGGAGCTCAACCTAGCAACTGCAGCTGCTCCGCTGGAGCCAGCAGAGGGAAGGAAGGCAGCGTCTTACCAACACGCTCTCTGGTATTTATGAGATTTCAAAGCAGCAGAGAGAGGACACTGGGAGGACAGCAGCCACACATCACAAGAGGACTCCATCATCTGCCATGTAGCTAAGGCAAAGGGAAGAAGGGGAAAACGTCCGCAGAACCTCATTTGTTTCTTTTGCTCCCCCACAGCCTCACATCTCTTAGGAAACACAAGACATGCGCCAACACATATGTGTGCTTCTGGTCCAAAATGACCAGGCTAAAAAAAAATACTCTTATAAACTTGTAGAAAACTAACTTCTTTAAACACCTAAGTGCCTGACAAAAGCTGCTCCCTGGATCTAAACTAAAATAAGTTCAGTGAAGAGAACACATCAACACATGGCCAAATATCTTTCAAGAGGAGAAGAGATTCACAAAGGGTGCTCTGCTCAGAGCACAGTGGTGGAGTTCTGTGCAACAATGAAAAAGATTCAGCCACTGACACAAGCGAACACATGCAGGAATTCTATGGGCCCCGTGCGGTGTCAAAGAAGTCAGACTCAAAAGGTCAGTCTCCATCTGTTTTCTGTTTCTATTTTTAAAAAGTGTTTTTTTTTTTTTTTTTGAGACAAGGTCTCACTATGTAGTTGAGACTGACCTGGAACTCACTATGTATCCCAGGCTGCTCTCGAACTGACAGCTATCCTCCTGCCTCAGCCTCCTGAGTGCTGGGATTACAGGTGTGAGCTACCACACCTTGCTTTTCTATAAAAAAATTTTTGAGGCTATTTGATTTATAAAGAATGGATATGTATATGACCCACAGTTTTGAAAAGTCCAAAACATGGTGCCAGTATCTGGTGAGGGTCGTATTACTGCACAGTAATGAGCATCCCAAGGTGAGGCAGTGAGCTTGCTTCCCCGGCTCCCTCAAGTCTTCCTGTAGACTATCAGTGCCACTGCAGGGTCCTGACTCTTGTGACTTCACCTAACCCTAACTATCCCCGAAAGGCCCATGTTAAATACCATTAACACAAATTTAAACTGGGCATGGTGACACAGTACTCTGGGAGGCTGAGGCAGGAGTATTACAAGTTCAAGTACAATGGGCAACTTAGCAAGGCAGTGAGACCCTGTGTCAAAATAAAAAACAGAACAAAGCTGGGGTGTAGCTCAGTGGCAGGCCTTGGGCTCATTCCTAAGTATGGCAAAAGCACACACACACACACACACACACACACACACACACACACAGCGTGACACTATTTACACGAAGCCCGAGAGTAGGTAAAATCAACATGAGGTAAGAGATCTCAGATGGGGTCACCTGGGCGAGGACTGCCTGGGGGGCTCTGGGAACCTCTGGCAGAAGGAGGAACGTTTCACATCTTGTTCTGGAGGGAGGTGCTTTCTGATGTGCTTTGGAATAGAAATATCTCTGAGTTGTTCATTTAAAACTAGCATAATTTGTACACTTTCCTGTATGTTTTCAATTTTTCTTTAAAAAAATCAGAGCATGAGAAAGAATCTAATTGCAAGATGCTTGGGGTTTGTGTGGTGCAATCAAAATCTCAAGGTCAACTGAAGATTGCAAGTAATTTTGTGGAAAAAAAATCTAAAATGTTCTCTTCATTTTCAAGTGGGCTGGGTTTAGTGCACTCAGGGGACTCCTGAGATGCAGAGAAAGGCCAGGCCTGGGTTTGGGGCAGACAGAACCAGCTGCACTGGCAGTCTCCACTCCGCACTCCCAACTGTGTGGCTTTGCCCACATCTCTTGTCCCTGCATGGAGGCCAAGTTTCTGCTTTTTAAAATGGAAATAATAATCCACTGTGCACGAGGACCAAGTGAGTCTCCCTAAAGCTCTCAGCACCCTCCGCTGCACACAGTGGTGCTCAATAAGTGTTGGTCTCCACTTACTCCTGCCTCCGTCCCCCCAGGCCTCTGCCTGCATTGCTCCACATTCTGGGGACACCTTGCCCACTGTGGCCCCCACTGTTGCCAGCATTAACACCCAGATGTCAAGGGAAGTAAATCACGCCTGGCCCTGCCCTCAAGGGACTCCCAGTGCCCTCAGGGACACGGGTGTGCCAAAAGATGATGACACCCAGAGGAGTGCCACAGGCTGCAGACTGGGCTGGGCGGCATGGGGGCTTCCTGGAGGAAGTGGTAGAGGAGGCAAGCTGTGGGGGGCCAACAGGAGGGGCAGGGCAGAGCAGGTGCTGAGGGGCAGTCAGGGTCTCGGGCAGAAGGGCAGCTGGGGAGCAAGGGCTGGGCCCAGCAACTCTGGGGCAGTAGGTCCCAGGCTTGCAAGCAGAGCCCAGGGCCACAGGGACCAGGTGTCCAGGCGGAAGCCGCCCTCTGGTGCAGAGGGGGCATCCCTAGACCTTCCTCCCACACGAGCTCGGTGGGTCCTCCAGCAGGGCTGGGCCGGAGCAACCCACTCACAGGCATGGAACTCAGCGTGGCCAGCAGGGCTCCCCACACGCATCTCCAAAACCGACCTGCAGGGCCCTCCACCCCTCCCCCTCCTGTACCCACACAGGCTCTGGCAGGAAAACTCTGGACACCGACTCAACCCATTGTGAAAAGAGACACTCCATGGGGCTGCAGCGGGGTGAGCCTCATGGAGAGCTCAGGAGGTAGGTAGGTACCCGCCAGAGCCAGGAGCCGTGTGTCCCTTCCTGAGAGGCTCCACCCTGACCCACTTCCCCTCTGCACAGGCGGAGTCTGTGACCTGGGGAGGAAAAAACTATTCACTGAGCACTCAATACATCCTACCAGGCCCACCGACCGAACAAAGCAGGGTGGGTCTCCCCAACTGAGAGGAGCAAACCAAGGCTCAGAGAGGCAAAGATACAGGTCCAAGGCCACCTAGCCGGGAAAGGTCCAAGTGGCAGGAATGCTCATCTAGGTCCAGCTCCTGGCCGCTCCTCCAGGCAGTCTTCCCTGATAGGCTCCCCTCCCTGCCCCTCACCTGGACTCAGCCTGGGCCCATGCTCCTGTGGCACAGAAGGACCAGCTAAGATGGCCACGGTGTCCCCCACCCAAGACCCAAACATGAGGTCTTTGACCTCAGAGACCCAGCTAAGGACGTGGCACCTAAACACTCAATAAATGGCCACTGATGGACGAATGAGAATGAGCTGTCCCTGATGTCCCCAAGTAAGAGCCATTGATGCCTGAGTACAACATGAGCCCCAGTGAGTTGGTGCCCTTGCTGTTCATCTCAGGTCTAAGGACCCCAGGTGCCCAGGCTGGCTGACCTGGTAAATGATACTGCCGAGGGAAATGACAGTGTAATGAATAGCTCTCCACCCACCACAACAGCCAAAGACTAGAAGGGTGAAAAGATGTTGTTTTAGTAAACTTGTGGCGAGTTTGGCACGTTCATTTGATCGTTTACACAACAAACACTTATTTTGTACTTGCAACGTGCATGGCTAAGAGCTAGGTCTGATGTCTTTGGCAGTGAACAAGACACATAA